AAGATGTTTCATTTTCAAAAGGAACGGTCACTTTATAGTATGAACGTTTTTCATTTGTTTTCTTAAATGTTTTGATATGTGGGGCTGACAATCAGACCATTGAAACTTGACTGTTTTCTGGCAAGAATTATTTTTCATTTTTATCCCTTTAGGCATACAACCGAGGGGTGGTTTTTCTATGTATTATTTTAAATTGTTACATTTTATTTGAACAATGCAGATGCCCTGTAAATATGGTTGTTTTATAAGTAATAAACCCGTTATTAAATATCACAATGTGTAATGAGAATTATTGATGTAATCTATATTTTTTGGATTAGATTAAACATTCAGTTTATGTTCCTTAAATGAGAAAAATATAGTTTAACAAAATGTATACATTTTTGATTGGATAAAACAAATAATATTTAGTTAATTTTAACGAGAAAAAACTGTTTGATAAAATCTATATTTTTTTGTTTGGATTAAATATAGAATTTAAATTAATTGACTTCCTTCAACAAGACAAATATACTTTGTGCCAAGTCTTATATAATAGTTTCCATGGACATAAGAAATATTGTTTGAGGCAAGTTATTTATTTTTCATTGGCTCAAGCTATAGAGTATAGATGTGAACCATTACCCTACATTTTTTTAATTGGTTGAACGAAATACTTTTACCAGTGTAGTTTCTAGGCCAACAGGGCTTGCTTATGAAAGTTTGATAACTTTAAAGGTAATGTCTCAATATTGTGATTACATTTAAGAAGAAATGTATCTCCACCCATCAAATTAAATGCATATTTAGGGAAGGTATTCCAAATGTTGACTTTTTCGCTAATCAAGTTAGTTAACTTTGAAAGTATTATTTAAAGTCTCAAAGCTTAGTACCTTTAAACCACCATTTATTTTACTATTGCATTAGATATATTTCCTTAAGTAATGACACTTATTCCTCCATATGAAATTAAATAGGATCTTATCAAAGTTTTTGTATATTTTAGTAGGCATTTCTAGTGATAAGGACACATAGACCGATCCGGAGATCACCTTAGCTTTGGATAACAGCACTCTACCATTTAATGACAGATCCCTCATCAACCACATATTATGGCTTTTGGTTAATTTAAATTATCTATCCGTGGTCTCGTTACCTTGAAACTGACTATTTTAAATGTGTGTGTGTAATAGGAAGAAATACGAAGGGGCTCAGTCTCAGCAGACATCTTTGTCTTATCCCACTACCAATATCAAATCTAGGAGTTGTACCATGTGCCAACTTAAAGGACACCTATCATGCTATATTTAAATGATATATTGTAGGGCCATACCTATATAAGGTATATTTATATGTTTCTGTTTTCAAAATACCAAACAGATGCATTTTAAGCCATGCCTCATTTCGCTCCATTTGCTCTTTCCAGCACTGTTTTTGCAGGGGGCTGATTCTGTGAGCTGCAGCTGACCATGCCCCCTGCAGGAGAGGATAGCGTGCTCTGAACAGCTGCTGGGCTGTCAGAAGAGGGGGGAGATCTCCGTCCTCCGTGTTTTATTATATTATTATATAGAGTCGTTATTCATTTGTTTTAAAGCTCAATAAATAACAAAGAAGACCTTTGACCGGCACTTTTCTAAATTTGTCCGGAAGATTTAAACTTTAACGGACATCTTGACCGGCGAAAGAAAACCTAACTGAAACTCTGCTGCACGGTCCCCTTGTTCCTTGGAAGAGGCGGAGAGGTGGGTGTTTGTCATCTGCTGGTGGACTAACCGGAGAGAATTACAGTGCTTGCCTCGACGGGGAGGGATTGCATTGAATTAAAGCAGCGGGAGCAAACGCTTGCCTCGGGGAGGGAGAAAAAAAGCCACAGCGGAGAATAAACAGAAGGGTAACCATGGTAACAATGCGCGGGAAGTCTTCTTCGCTGCTTTTGTGGCAGACTACAGCGCCACTTACAGGCCTGGCATATGTACTACAGCGTCTCCAGCGCTTTCGAGCGGCAATGCCCGGCCGTGGCCCAACCCCACATTCCCCTGATAGGTGGAGAGTTGGCCCAATAGCCGTAGCTCCACTTTCCTGACGTCAGGACAGTGTTCAAATCTGGATCAGTTTTTATCAGATCTGTTGCAGCCCCTTTTTTAGAGATTTGGGTATGGAGGAAAATAGAGAGGGTTGTGTTTTCTGACACTTGGTGAGTTCCCTGGAACACCGGGGACACATATTCATGTATAAAAGACGTACAAAAGTGCATTTTGCATGATAGGTCCCCTTTAACTAAGCTGTTGCAGCCTTTATATAAAGTTTGAACAGCTTTCCAAAAGTGATTCCCAAATCCAAAGGATTTAATTACTTTAAACATGAATTTGTGACTTATTGTTTCAAATGCTTTATAAAAGTCTACGAATAGAATAAAGCTTTCGTCCAATATATATTCAGTTTAATCGATCATATCCAGAATTAATCAGATGTTATTACTTGTATTTATTCTTGTCATGAATCCAGATTGTTCTTCATCAATAATATTATTTTTCAAACTTTTAGCAAAGACTAATGCAAACATGTTGGCATCATCATTCAAAAGACTAATTGGTATCCAATGTTCAATACTCATCTTATCTTCTTTTGGTTTAGGTATCATTTTAATAAGACCTTGTCAAAGAGTTTGCAGTAATTCTTCTTTTCCTATGGCTTCTTCATACATGGCCACAAAAAATGGGGCTAATGCCTACTAAAGGCTTTATAGAATTCACTTTTCAACCCTTCATTCCCTGAAGATGTATTATCTTTAAGAGAGCCAATACATGTCTGCAATTAGATTTTCTTGTCAGATTCTAATTTAAAACTATTATCAGTGCCTTTAACCTGTTTTTCAGGTTTCAGGCTCGAAAATGACATGCCCAGAACAAATGACTATATCTTCACTTCTAAAAGGGGTAAATTAATAATCTTTTTTCTCAAAGCAATGATACACCTGTGAGTTGGATGCAGGACAGTCAGAATCAATATAGATGTTTGTATTTGAAAGTAAATTCAGATTGAACATAGTAAAACAATTTAAATTATAGTTTCCGTCCAAAAAAACCCCATTACTTATAGTGAAAACCATCCTTGAATGATGGGATAGTAGACTAAAAGCTTTAGGAATCCAAACTATAACATATAATAAGTACACTGAAAGAAACGACTTGTAGGATTTACTTAATTAAATCCTAGTAAGTAAGTGCATATATTCATGTTCAGGTTGATATTAGTATTTAGTGTCTGTACGGTGACATGTCTCCATGCTTTAATGTTCAAAAAGCTATTTTTTTCACCCTCAGTCTTTAAACCAGAGACCAATCTGCTCTGATTGGTTTGCTGACCAGCTCTGTTGTAATTGGTCAACCGCCTAGAGATGTCGGAAATGTCCCACCGCTAAGCTTATCACATACAATAGCCGCGTTCACACCAAGTACTTTGCCGTACTCAGTGCCGGCACATTCCCTGAGGGAAGATTACGCAAATGAGCCGCTGATGTCACTTCGTCTTCTTCTGCTTTGGGTTTACTGGCAGGCCGCAAACAACTTCACAGCGTATACTGCCACCCGGAGTCCCCGGCCGGAAGTCCCCGGAGTTGGGGACTGGCTTCAGTAGAAGCTGCTGGGACTCCCAGCAGCTTCTACTGAAGCCTTCCGAGTAAATCGCCAGAACGCCGACACCTCCTCATCTCCACCGCTCCCATGTTTTCTTTTGTGTTGCCATAAGTTAGTCTCTCTGCGTTTGTGCGCTGGGCGAATGCTAATGCTAATAATGCTATTGCGAGGATAATAAAATGGCGGCTCTACAAAACATTTCAGAGTTTTACGGGGCGTGGTCTGCAATTCGCCCAGCCAATCAGAACTGGGGCACTTTTTTCCCCCAGGAAAGTACCATCTCTCAGCAGGCACTAAAAATGGGGGTAAAAGTTCCCGGGATTAAGTGCTCTTTTTGGTGTGAACGCGACATAAGGGGTACTAACGGAACTAAACGCGAAAAGTACGGTGAAAAGTACTCCGGTGTGAACGCGCCTAATGTAAACACACCCGCCCCATAAGCATGTATCACATAAATACAGTGATTTGCAACGTTATAGTAAACGGCCTCAATTCAGCATAGCAAAAGTAAAAGACACGTTGTTCATTTTATGCTGGTCTTCTTTTGCTGTGCTGATGTTATTTAAAAGTGATGCTAACAAGATATTTGAACAGGGTTTGGGGCATTTACAAAAGCGCTGGAGATAGGATCAAGTTACGTTAGCTATTTAGACAAACTAAGTTTCTCATCTTTTGCCTAGTTTCAGTCAAAATTGTTGGGCACCAATGTAACGAAAACAGAGACTCTAAGCAGGCTCAACTCAGATAACCGAGAGCCCGAAAGCAGTCGGAGCATATACTGCGTTAGCTTAGCCGATCTCCATCTAGAAAACACGCATTTTAAAAGGTTTTTCGCCTGCCGTCTGTCTGCAGACTTGTCAAAGCATTAATTCATGGTTTTTACTAACCGGTATCAGTATGTTGTTACTTCGGCATCATTTTGAAACGTGTATTACAATTAAATCACGGTCAAATATGTCCATCTTGTTGTAGTTGTAGCCCCCTTTCCAGCGATGCTCTCTCTAGTTTAGCATACTCAGCCCGACTCAGCCTCGTTGTCTCTGGCCCTAGAACCACGATTTTATGAGGCCAGAAAAACTGTGAATTAGGACCCGCCGGCCGGTACTAGGCCAAGTGGAAACGCAACCAAAGACGGGCCGCTGACGTCACAGCCCTCTTAAACCGTGCTCCGCGCTGTAGTGGAGACGCGCCATAAGCTTAAGTTGTTAGCGGCCAAAATTGTAAAGCTTGTAACCATAAAGCCTATGAGCACAACAGTTTGTGGAGGGAACACAGGGATTTTAGCCTTTGCAGACATAAACCTATATAACCCAAAAATCATAAAAGAGCCTCTTTTATAGCTCTTTGACTTTGTGAACTTATTGCGCATGTTTGTTTCTTCCATAGTGACGCTGATGGCTGGTCAACTCTTCAAAGTGTCCGCTCTTGCCACAGCAGTGTTTGCCTCCTCTGGGTTCTACCTGTACGACAGACAGCTGAACCTCGATGATCTGAGTGTGATCCGCTTTGGACGAGCTGCAGCCACAGTGAGTTAATGAGCATTTCTGCCCTTATAGTCTTTATTTAGGGCTAGTGGATTTGGTGCAACATCAGTTTAGATGTTATATGTCTTTGTCTTAATGTGGCCTGCATCACAAAGCAAGATTGTTTGTTAAGCCGTCTTTATTTCAGATTCAAACAGGGTCTCCATAGTAAATTGTGCTGACTGAGTCATCGGGATCATGACAGACAACATTTAAGAGAAGTTGATGATTTAACCTGTTTCACGCCTTCCCCCCGGTACCGGGCGGATAAACGCGTCATTTGCAGGAAACAACGTCTAAGGAATCTTAATATTGAATAAAACTATGAATGTGTTATATCCATGTAACGGGAAGAAACTCAGCTAACTGATCTTTTTAATTTCTTTTTTCAAAAAAAACCCACAATGCTAGCACTCAGCCTCTGAATTAGCCTCGATCGAAAAAACGGGACCGACAAAGGCACATAAACTCACTCAGAACTCCCTTATTACTTATCCTAGATGCACAACTAAACACTATTTTTTGGTGTCCTGGAGACACTGAATCTAACGGTGCCCACCTCAACACTCAGTGATAAACATTCGCGACGCTATCAACGAAAGCGTACATCATCACATGTGGAGCCAAGAAGCTAAACATGTAAATATGGCTCACCTTGGTCAAAAGTGGTCTTCAATGGCATTAAAACGATAAAAAAACGATGCTGCAGTTAATCCATAGGTTCATCCTATGTGTCTGTGCCTTCTTTGAAATTATTTCTGATAATCCATAAGCAATACAACTGCGTTTTAGTTTCCAAACTCCAGAAGGAGACATTCCTCCAGTTTAGTTTCGCTTTCCACACGCGAAGCGGCAACATTTTTTCTTTACAATGTGTGTCTATGTGAGTATCCTCCTTCGATTCTATTGGCTCTAACGGTCACAAGGGTATGTCAACCAACCAGATCGAGCAAGGGGGGCCAGAGATAGGTCAAATCCACCCAAATGACCCCAGATGGCCCAGTTTTTGGCTAAATCTCTCTAAAAAGGTCAAATTTCACTTGTTTTGCATCAATCTTGATACAGGGTACTTATTATATGTTGTACTTTGGATTCCTAAAGCTTTTAGTCTACTAACCCATCATCCAAGGGTAGTTTTCACTATCTGTAAAAAATAATTTTTGGACGGACACTATAATTTACAGTTTTTTACTATGTAAAATCTGAATTTTCTTTAAAATAAAAAACATTTATATTGATTCTGACACTTCTACATCCAACTCACAGGTTTATCATTACTTTGAGAAATGATTATTAATTTAACCCTTTTAGAAGGGAAGATATGGTCATTTGTTCTGGGAATGTCATTTTCGAGCCTGAGACCTGAAAAACAGGCTCAGAGTGGAACAGGTTAATAGATCTACATTTATAATATGTTCCAGATCCACCTCAACTGGCTCCTATTTTTTTGCAGAATACTGACATCTGTATTGTTTCATAGTTTTTTCCTTCACATTTTCTATTATTTTCTAAACCAGACACTGTTATTTAGTCATCAATAAGGCACAATTATCCTTGTTTTTATTTATTTGTTTGATTGTATAATGTCTGACTTTTTTGGAGTCCGTCAGGACAGAGAGTCGGAGCAGCTCATCCGAAACACATTAATACTACCTGCCTGCAAAGCCATTGTAAATGCGATGCTCGGCCCTGACGCGGTTAAAGAAATAGCCAAAGTCCCTCTCTCAGATAACACAATTGCCAGACATATTGATGACATGTCTGCAGACATCGAAAAGGTTGTTTTGGAAAAGATACGCATCAGTGGGATATTTGCATTGCAACTTGATGAGTCTACGAACATTAGTGGACATGCTCAACTCCTGGCCAATGTGCATTTTCTGGATGGAGACACGATCAGAGAAAACTTCCTATTTTGGAAGCCAATGCCAGGAAAAACAACAGGAGAAGACATTTTTCGTGTCGCTTCAGAATATCTTTAACAAGGAGGACTTAAGTGTGAAAACTGCACGAGTGTCTGCACTGATGGAGCAGCAGCCATGGTCGGGTCCACCAAAGGCTTCGGCTTCAGCAGACATGCTGGTAAGGACATGCTCATGTTTTGGATGATGTTGTGCGCATGGTAGTGTTGCACGGTGCACCGATACTAGAAAGGTATTGCGATAAAAACGTAAAAAATGTTACGATTCCTCCATTTCATTAGTACCGGTACATTAAGAATGACATTGTTTTAATAAGAGCCGTATTTCCTGTGTGTGTTCAGCGCGCTGCTTCCACTCCATGCAGCCGTGCCTGCAGTGCCTCCCTGCAGCCGTTGTCTGCTCCTCTAAGAGGCTGTGTTTGTTGTTTGAGATGATGTTGCTATTTTAGTTAATACGGATTGTTGTGTTAACTGTTCCTGTTGGCTCCCAGACCGTAGTCGAGGAAAACAGGGGATGACTCTCTGCAGTCTTCCAGGGCCGAAACAACAAACTTCGGATTCAATAACACACTTTTCAATAAGGCAAACAGGCGAGCTCTTATTTGGGAGGCTGTTGCATTTATTAAGGTCTTTGTTACAGATCTAACTTTGAAGACACTCGACAGACCTATTTTGTTGCTGCTTGCACATGCACGCGCCACACAACTGAATTTCAAAATAATACTTATTTTTGTCCGGTCGGGTCTTGGTAAACCGGAAGCTATGTGGTTCATAAAAACATGTTCTTACTCAATACCAAGACACGATTATTGTTTTTATTTTAAAGCGTATAATGTCTGACTTTTTTTGCCGTCTATGAGGAAAAGAAATGGGGCTCAGTGCCTCAGAATACTGAAATCTGTATTTTTTTTTAATCTTTTTTCCTTCTAATTTGTTATTCTTTTCTAAATAACACATTGTTATGTACTCAACAATAACACACAATTATCCTTGTTTTTATTTATTCGTTTAATTCTACAATCTTCCTCAGGAACTGAATTTCAAAATAAAGTCACCGGAAACAGACGTGGGCCTATAAGGGACATTTCGAGCATCATTGCGATACACACCACACACCCACTGGACTGATTACCCAAGATCCTCAGCTAGAAGCTCGGTGATTGGATTGTTTAGCCGCAATGCACGTTGGGATATGGTGTTAATGCGATATGAAATCCGAAAAACATTTAAAAAAAGAAAATAATACTTTATTCCGTGTGTGCTTGCTTTTCTCTTTGAAAGTCATCACATAACGGCATTGTAATACACAGTTCGGCTGCATTAAATATTACACATCTGCCGTAGTTCTTTATTTATAGAGCCCTGATTAGAAGACTTCTGGACAAACTGGAAGAACTGCCACCGCAACTGAATACGTGACGTGGATCATAAATATATCAGCAATTAAACAACATCTTCAATTTCTCTTCACACAATACGTCTCCTTGCAGTATCAATAGTAATTCGGCTGACTTTTATATTTGATCCAATTGGTAGATAGGCTGTATTTACACCATAACGGTGCACAGCTGATATAAAAGGACTTGTAGTTTTTAAAGATATTACTGATTTTCTTTGAATATAAGAATGTAAATACTGAGTTGAAAGAATAGTCAGGGGTTTTGGGTGATCTATGGAATCACGATTTCAATAGCTTACCATTAAATGACGGATATACCTTTCTGTCTATGATTTTTTACAAATCAGATATTAATGTGTAGAAGTAAAACATGTGAAATAATATAGCAATATCCTGTAAAATTATGTGAAAACATGAATAAAACTACACATCTTCAGATGTTATACATACATAAGTGTCCTACACTAATAATACAAAGTTATTATTAGTATGCTGTGTGTACCTTGTGTGCACTGCCTAGTGGTTAAAGCACGTTATTGAATTATTTTTGTTGAATAATGTTATATTTGATGAAAAAAATATTAAGAGTACATACTTTCATAGGGGGAAAGTAGAAGGTCAATGATAGAAATATAGAATATAAAAAATCAAGAAGATACTGTAAGTGATCTCTACAATATAACAGTTTAGTGCCGGATGTACAAAGATATTAATAGGAGGATGTGCAAAACAGACAAACTAATTAACCTTTATTCAAACATTAAAGAATACTTTAGGTTAAGGTCTTCTTTTAAATAAGAAAAAAGCTTGGGGGTATCTACAGATAAATATTAAGCCTGACAAAGTACTTAACGTCTAATATATTGCTTTCCTGCAATGTTATCTATGTTGAAGCACTTATTTTAACTAATATTATACGTATTAATTATACTCTTATGTATGTAGATAGTATAAGAAATGTGCAGAATATGACAGTTTAATGGTGGAGTTATATACACATATTGATAGATGTCTTGTAATGCACTGTTGAGGAACCTGCGACCCAAGTTTTTCATTCATTGCATAACTACACCGTAGTTGTGTATATGATATGTCAATAAACCTTTGAAAATCTTGAAATCTTGAAAGGGATGTGCAAAATAGCCATTATATACAGTCTTGAATTAACTATTAGTAGAGAATAACGAGTAATGAATATACTTTATAGGGATCTGCAGATAAATGTTTAGTCTTCTCAAGCACCAACTATCAAATATCTCTCCTGATTGTTGGCACTTGACAATCACCTTCCCTGAATTTTACTCGGGTGTAACTAAAGTCTGCTTTAAGGGTTGTTTATATTTCACATCATTAATCATCTGCAAAGTAACTAAAATAAATGTAGTGGAGTAATAATACCAGGTTAACCTCTGAATTGTAGCGGAGTAGAATTACAAAGTAACAATGAGCTGTCATGTGGGTATATATTAATGCTGCCCATTATGGACACAAGCAATTTCCCCCCATTTATTAAACTGTTAAGCCCTGAGCCTGTTTTTCAGGTTTCAGGTTCGAAAATGCTATGCCCAAAACAAATGACTATAACTTAACTTCTAAAAGGGTTATATGAATAATTTCTTTTATCAAAGCAAGGTTACATCTGTGAGTTGGATGTAGAAGTGTCAGAATCAATATAGATGTTTC